CACTATTAAGGACTACAATTGTAACATCAGATGTTAGAAAGTTAAAAGCTTTAGAAACCAGGTTGGATGCCACAGTCTACTATGTTTCAAATATGTCAATGAAAAACAAAGAAGAAACTTCTCAAGATGCCATTTCAGTGTTTTCTGAAGTAGGAATACAGACTGGTCTCATACCAGTTTGGCTATGACAGCACAGAGTATGCCTATCAGAACAGCAATTAATAAAGTTTCTCCCATATCTTCCACTTTAGGTTGTGAAAGCCTTTGCAGAAATCCCCTGTGCAGTCACCTGAAATGTAAAAAGTGGCAGACTACTGAAAGCCATCATCATCCTCTGTCCCAACAGGCATCTGAAGTGCTCAAGCCAGAGCACAGATTCTTTTCCTTCAGTAGAGGAAACTCCAGCTAATGAAGTACTCTTTTTTCCCCCATGAGAAAGATGTCTTTTAATTAGAGTATCATCTGAAACTGAGAGTACAAGCAGTCACTTCTAGAACATCATGTAAAGGATGCAGTCTGTATCCCTACTCAAACTGTCTGCCGTTTCTCTCCCCCAGTCCCCTCCCCTCTGCTTTGCCAATGCTTCAGTATCAGTGCCCATCTGTCAGACAGATTCCCAGAGAAAAGTCTCACAACGTGACAAATCTGGTTTATCAGACACTGCTGCTGAAAAGGGTCAACTCAGTCCATTGCCTGTGTGATGCTGTGGAAAACCAGTTCAACTCACTAAGCCAGCAGAAATCTAAATCACTCATTTTTTACAGTCTTTTAGGTTAATGCTACGAATCAGCTCATTAAAAGATGTCTCCGAAGCACGTGGAATTTAGGGGCAAAAGCACCTTTTTTTGCAGTAGCAACTATTATAACAGCTGAAGCACCCTCTGAAAATTGCAGTCATCTATCAACTTTCTTCCATACATACAGCTTTGTACATACAGTATGGCTTCCCCAAACTCACCCCCTAAGCTTCACTCTGTAAACTCAATCTTCACAGTAAGGCTTCTGTTTTGTTACCTGTATTGATTCAAGTGAATCAACTGTACATAAATTGTATATGTTGACTACAATTTTTCTTTCTTTAGATAAAACAGGGAGCAAATGTTTACTGATAGTTAACTTTATAAAATGCCCCAGAATGGAACAGGTCCTCTTCAATTGGAAGTCTCCTACAAAATTGATAAGTATTATTACCAAAAATTAGTTTAAGGACACCATTTTTCACCACATCAACACATTCTGATGTTTAAATGATTCTTCATCTCATAATAGGTAAACAAGCAATGAGTAATAAATGAACAATCAAAGAATCCACTGGGAAACAGTAAAGCATCACAAAGAAGACACTTCAGTTAATTTTACTGTGAAAGATAAACAGTTGATAATTAGAACTCTGCTAGAGGGCAAGAAGGTTCACGAAAAATTGGGCTAAAATGCAACAAACCAGGAATGCTAACAGCTGGGTATAAACTAAATAAGTAGTTCAGGCCTTAAAGCAATTTTTAAAAGTAAATTACACAAAAAGTATGCAGATATAGATGAACATATACTAAAGAGGACAATTGTGTAAATTTAACTGAAAACAGGTAAACTCAGGTATCAGATGGATGAGTTTAATATATGTGAACATCTTATTCACACAGAATTCAATCAATTCAAAGAATAACAAGATTTGGGACACCGGGTTAGATGTACAAGACAAGCAGTTTACAGTTCAAAGCAAGAAATTCAAGTATGTTTGAATATTACTCTGACTGCACTATGAGTGGGTACCTGTACTTTCAAAATATTCCTTTAAAGACTTTTCTACTTCCCAACTGCCTGGCCAGCAGGGCTCTGGAGCACAGAAGTCATTCTCTGCAGGCTAGAACAAGCCACATGACAGTCTTAGCAACCAAAAAGAGCAATTACAGGGGATTCTTGCTGTATACCTGCGGTGAGAATCAGCATGTTCAATGCCATTGTGTAGTTAAGCAGCTAATCCCTAAAAAGTCACTGCTCAGCAGGTACAAAATGAGATTTATAGAAATTTATATTTGGGCAATGTTTTAGCAGACCTTCACAAGTATTTTCACAGAGGATTGACAACTGGTGAATCAAAACTCTCCAGCAAAGTAGAGGCACTCTACAAAATGCTTGCAAATTTTTTTTATAAATACAAACAAAAAGAACAGATTTTCCTCTTGACCTTGACTGAGGAGAAACAATTGTTTGTTCTACAGCTCCCCTCACTCCTCCCCTTGAAAAAAAAAAAAGAACCTAAAATAAAAAAGCTAGAGATGGAATTTTCTGTATAAGTACCTTACAGTTCAATAAAGTTACAACTAAGTGTTTAACAATAAAAAAAAATAAATCAGCTTGTACTAAAGTGTTGTTCCCACATTATAGGAAACCCATTCATAACATACAAGAAGCCAAATAAGAGAAATGTAAAAAAACACTCCTCTCCAAATTTGTCTTACAGATATTAAAGCATTGGGTGGCAGGAGGGGAAGAGGTGTGTTTCAAGTCAGCCAGCCTCTGGTGTGCAGGTCAGCAGTTACTCTATCCTGTGGCATGCAAAAAATGAAGCTCCAGGATCTAGCCCCATCAGGGTTGACAGTGACCGGCCTGCAATTCCTTGGTCTTCTTTATTTCCCTTTCTTAAATTGAGAGTTATACTTCCTCTTTTCCAGTCAGTGGGAACTTCCCCAGACTGCCACAACTTCTCAAGAATGATGGATAGTGACTTAGCCACTACCTCCACCTCAGGACCCACAGATGTATCTCATCAGGTTCCATGGATTTGTGCACATTCAGGTTCCTTAGATGGTTTCAAACATGATCTATTTTGTTACTCAAAACTCTTTGTCTCTTTTCAAAATCTGGCCTAAAACCAACTGTAGATGAAGTCTCTGCTGTGCTTTTAACGCAGAAGCTCAGCACATAGGTGAGACCCCGCAAGACCAGTTTTGCAGAGGCCAAATCATAGAATCATTAAGTTTGGAAAAGACCTCCCAGATCATCAAGTCCAGCATTGACTGAACACCACTATGTCAAATAAACCATAGCACTAATTTCCATGTCCAGTGATTTCTTGAACACTTCCAGGGATGGTGACTCCACCACCCTCCCTGGGCAGCTCGTTCCAATGCTTAGCCACGCTTCCTGATGTCCAATCCGAACCTCTCCTGGTGCAGCTTGAGGCCACTTCCTCTTGTCCTATTACTAATGCCTGGGAGAAGAGGCCAACCTCCACATGGCTACAACCTCCTTTGAAGTAGTTGTAGAGAGTCATGAGGTCTCCTTTGAACCTCCTTTTCCCCAGGCTAAACACCCCCAGCTCCCTCAGCTGCTCCTCATGATTTGCTCTTTAAGTCATATGTTCAGGCACAGTGTGAACACAAGTTCCAGACTTCTGCATTTTGCAGAGCACCACTAGAGGGTTCACAGTTCCTCACTTTCAGATGTCACAAGGCTTTTTAATCAGCTATACCTGCCTTTCAAGAGAGCTGTTGAGAGGGAACTAGAGAAATTCAGCATTGCAATTAGCCTGTCCTCACTGCTCAGTGGGCAGCCTCCTGCAACAGCAGGATCTAAGACTGTTTTCCAACTCCATCTGTAGCCATTAGGACTAGCTCCTACTTTAAACCTCCAAACCTAGGTCAAAGGCTTTCCTCTGCAAAGGGGCATCAGCACTGTCTTAAAATTCAGGCATTAAGAGACCAGGAAGGCTGTTTCTCTACAAAGCAGATACATTTTTTAACCACTACCTTCTTCTTCCAGAACTTTGTTGTTCTTCACCATAATGCTTCAACACGGAGACTATTTTATTCATGATATGTGCATACCAAAAAGGCCACACATGTAATTCATCAGCCTTTTATTAACGTATTAAAGATTTTAGAACTTCTCGAGTATCACTGTACTGAGTGCTTCTAAGACAACAAAACAAGCAAATAAAATACAGAATCGCTTTCAGAAAGAGAAGATAAGGATAAGGTGCTTTCTTGTGAACACATTTTTAAGACAAGAGGGTTTTATTTTAAAATAAAAAGTACTGCAGCTCAGTAGTTTGCCTGGTGACATATTTGTTGGGATTTTTTTTAAGTCAAAGCACACACTTATCAAGCCTTCCTGAAAGAAGGAGCAAAAAAGTTTCAATATAAAACAGTTTTAGGAGTCTCTCCCTAAACATTTATCATCTGGTATAAAATATATGGCATTATATGTTTTCATTAAAAAATTATATTTTTTCAAAAGGGTAGGAAAAGGTATAATACAATCTAACTACTATTTTCAATGAAAATCATGCTGCATCTGAAGTAGAACAAAAAGAAGTAACAGAGACAGATGTTCAGTTTATACATATTAATGTAAAGTATCCTGTTACGCTAATGAACCTATTTTAAAATACTTTTCTCTATACCTATGGAATTTCAAAACAAGCTCTAGCATATCATAATAACTTCCAGTTCTTTCATCTTCCACTAATGTATTTTAAGAACATTAAAGAAGATTCTTGGACACATATCAAGGTAAAAAAAAAATTAACTTGCATGCCTACTTCTCTTTCCTGAAAGAGATACGGAATAAAATTCTTAACCTCTTGTGGTCATAGAGGCAGCTGAGCTACATATAATGGAATAAGTAAGAGAGATCTCTTCTACTTTTCATGTTGTCTTTGGCAGTTGCAGATAGATTTTAGTGCTTCTTTAGACTTCAGTTATTCCTGTGTCTTATTTTCATTTTGTGCTCTAATATCTATCATGTGGAAGAAAAAAAAATTAGGATACCTTTCCCTCCCCATTAATGAAAGAAAATAAGGCAGCTTTCCAACTAATACTGCACTGCTAATATTACTTCAATGAGAACCCCATGACCAAGGATCATACATAATTATAAAATCATCAATGAAGTATATAAATATCCTCCTTAATCAGATGTCCATGAAAAACTGGTAACTAGCATACAGTGACTGAAATATATACAAAATGTTACACTTTCAAAGAACAGGTATTTACCTTTGTTGCAAGATGTGACACTGAAGATGACACTTCATCATGAAGAAACTGGTCTTTATTCTCAAAAAATGATAAAGATAAAAAAGGCCAATAGTCAGTTTTGGTTTGACAATCAGCACTGACACATTTTAGACTATCCATAAATGCTTTTATTTTATTCAGGCCATCATAAAATTGACAAAATATGATCACAATGCAAAATTAAGTGAACACCACCAATAAAATAAGACATGTGAACAAAACTACTTATAATGATGAAAAATATTGTACCAGATGTAAAAAAACAGATCAAACCCTTAAAAAAACAAAAACCCCATACCACAAAGAGAGATCAAGAACACCCTTCTATCATAACAAATTTAGTACAATTAAAAATAAAAATTTATTTTGATCTTAATGATTGTTTCTCTATTTTTTGGATCACCACTGATTTTCTAAATATCATACTAGGTGATGGTCTATGCAGTGTCTGTGGCCTGGAGGAAGAGGAATGTCCCAAGACTTTTTCCTCCTTCACATTAAAAAGTTCTACATTTCTTTGACTCAAGGACAGACTTTCACCCGCATTCCCCTCCATTTGTAACTGTTGATTTCAGAAGAAAATTAGAGTGCTAAAAATGCTTGTGAAGGTTATTCAGTAGGGAAGCATTTCTGTCCATCTCTGAATTAAACTCCTGTCTTAGTATTGTCAGGCCATCCTGCTACTATCAATGCTCTCTTCAAGACAAGGTAAGTAAGATCATTGTTGGGAGTACTTTAGAAGCCAAATATACAGGAACTGCGATATAGAATTCAGGAAATATGCAATTTTCATTTTCTTCACTCTGTGTTTTAATGAGAAATTTATTATTTTTTTTTCTCTACATATGACTCCAAATACAAACAGTCACAAGTACAAAACCAGAACAGCTGTGTATAACTGTAAATATTTAACTCCAGTTTCAAAAAAACCCTCAGAATTAAACCAGAACACATCTTTTATGGAAAGTGTCTTCAAAGTGGCAGTTTCACATAACCTCCAGTGTTCACTTTGGTCCATATTTTGCTTACATCAGATACTCGCTGTTTCAAAAATCAAAGTTATCACTCCTTCCTTTTCAACTAAAGTAAATGCTAAGGAGTTGATACGCTCTTTGCTCTATAAGCTTAGTTTTTGGTTTTGGTAACTTCACACACACATATCCCAAGACACCGAAAACACTCAGTATCCCAGCTTCTATACATTACCAAAGACCTCCTTCACTTTGCTAACAGCATCAGAAAGAGGTGAGAAAGCCAGCACAAAAGTGCTACGTATTTCTAGTCATGTGGGGGCCCAGATGTATCAGCTTCATTTTGAGACACCAGTTTCAAATCCCAGGCATTTTTATTTATTTATTTATTTGCATACTACTGTCTCTATTTACTTTACAGGCAATAAATTATATTATACAAGGGACAAGGATGGAGCATTTCTAGAATTGAGTATGAAGACCATAACGCTATAGTTCAATAGTAATTGTGTGTTGGAATAGAGCAAGTTGTAGATAGCCAGCTTTAGTTGTTGGGGCAGAACACAAAGTCAGGAACTCGTATTATCATTCAAAATGAGAATATTACTTCCTGTGGATCTCAACAAGTTATTTAACTTCCAGGTTTCAGTTGGCTGTCTAACACAGGAGGACATTATTGCAGATGGGATACCAAAAAATTACAAAGTTAAGATTTGTCTAGTACTCTCAAATTAAATTTAATTACTTCCCCCCCTTTTGGATTTTTCTTTTCCCTCCTTTAAAGAAAAACATTAGCAATACTTTAAATGGAAATGCCTCACACATACCATTTCAGAAGTCTACCTGTTTCCTCTCAGCACTCCCAGCTCTCAAGCTTTCGGATGAGGTCTTAGACTTAACATGATGGCATCTCTCCTTTGACACGATACAAGCTAGAGAATACCTCAGCTGATTTGTCCAAATTTTTCCCAAGAAGAAAAAAAAATTAACAAGAACTAGGAAAGCCCCAAGGGGAAATACAGTAAGAGAAAAAATTATTTCAGACATCCAGGGCTGGCAGAGCTACCAGTTTCAACAACCAACAATGCCGCCTCCAGAACTAACAGGACACTGTTAGTACCTTCCAAAGAAATAAAACCTCTCATTTTAATTCTTCCAGCTCTCCAAGTATCATAGGAAGGATAATAAAAATATGAGAGTGCATACAGAGACATCATGTTCTACTAGAGAAGAGAAAAAACAGAAGTGTGAAGGCATACACCCTCTAGCAAGCCTGAGCACAAGGAAACAAGGGTGCAAGGCATTTTCACAGTGAAAGTTTTTAGGGGAAAACGATGAGATGCAACGAGCACCTCATAGAGCCAAGGAGTCAGCATAATAAAATGTGAATACCATTGTCAACCAACGATGTAATTCACAATAAGTAGTAGACAAAAGGATGCATTTGCTTCTCTAAATGAGGGACAAGTAGGACTGTGTTGCTGTGTTAATACAGTGTTACTACTCACAGAGTGCTATCTCATACGGAATGAGACACAAGTTTGCAGCAACTATACTCATGCAGCGGAGGCTGATGGTTAGAGGACAACACCAAGTTTAGAGATATGAAATGCAAAGATTAAAAGATATGAAACCCTCAAGAAAAAGAATGGTGAGAATCTAATCCCTAAAACACATATTTGGGGGTGGAAGACCTAACAAGTATCCAAAGCATCCTTTTAAGATACACCGCTGAAGGAAAGGAGACTTGGACAATGGCAGTGTGGTTGTGACGTCCATCCATATATCCCATGGATTGACCGAAAACAGCCTGTAAGTTTGAGTTCAGCAGTCTCCAGCAAACTAGATTTCAAAATGTTTTGTGGAAAATCCATCCTTATGAAAAGCAGAGGGGAGACTAATGCTGCATGGTGGGAAGAGTGCAAGAGGAGCAAGTATAGGAGTTCAGAACCATCCATGGCCCACATTGCAGGGAGGGACCTGCACACTGTACAGTAGGAATGGGCTGTGTACAAAAAAAAAATAAAATAAAATAAAAATAAACAGAGGGAAAGAGCAGAGGGAGGGAGGGGACCTGTGCCACCACTGGGAAGAACCGAGGAAAAAAGATGAGAAGCCACATACATCCCATCTTCACTTGTTACCCACAGAATAATTTGTATTTTTTAAGTGATACACATTAGTACACCCTTCTTCTGATACATATTCTTTACTTGCATTACCATTCTGAGATCAGAGAGCTTACGATTTGTTTTTTCAAGTTTTCTTTAGAGGACAATCTACTGTGCCGCTACATGTAAAGAGTGAAGATGAGCTTTCTTTATCATGCTGCATAACACACATTGATGCTGAACGCTCATAAACTATTTTATCTGCACAGTTTAGAGTTATGACAATTCACTTTTTACTTCAATTTAAAAGAAAAACATAGACCCCAATTACAGTATTTAGATACTAATAGGTGACTAAATGCTAATGATAGTGAGAAATGCTGATCAGCAACTTGAATAGCCCTCCAGTTCTGGCAGGGGAAGGTTGGTATGTGCAGTGTGTTTTCACAAGGAAACAAGTGCCCTTTTGTTGGACATACTGCAAACCATAAGGTACTCAAGGGACTAATTCAACTTGCACACAAACCTTTTTGTACAGAGATCAAAATCATAATCTACTTCCCTCAGCTTCCTTTGTGGTAAAGTAATTAATTAGTCTCTTTAGATCATTCGCTTTCATAATTCAGGCCAAGATGAGGAATGCTGGACACTGAAGAGTTAAGGCAAATAATAGCATCATCTCACTCTGTATGCCCTTCTTTTGCTCTAGCACATAAAATGGTAGATTATTGATTTTCTCTACCCATTTGTGGAACCTTCCTATGGTACACACACACACACTCACTGTCAGAGCTGAGCACAGATAAGAGTAAACAACATACTGTTAACAGAGTAGGTCCTTTTGGTGCAAATTCTCACCCTTCTACTGACTTACTGAATCCCCTCTGCCTATCATCACACCTCACCAAGGACTGAGCATAATATAAAGTCTAGATTATCATGCCTGTGAGTGTGAATTAGATCATGTACCACAGAAGTACCATTTAAGTGGAAAAAAAATCCCAAAACAAAGAGATACACCTCAAGAGGTACGTTCCAGAGAAGAATTTAACATAATATCCAGTACGCCACAAACCCTATTAAATAATTTAGTGATAGGAGAGGGGAAGGTTAAAAAAAAATAGTTAAAAAAAATCACTCAGGAAATCACAAACCTGAAATTAACCTCTAAAGTTGGAAAGATTCCAAAAACACTGATTACAAACCAAACAATTGAACAACTGTATATACACAGCCTAACCAGAAACAGCACAGATTGGGAAGAGGAGATCACCATCTTAAAATACAGCTAACAAAAGAAAATATTTCCTTGGGTTTGAGAAGGATCTTACTATTATAGTGTAAAATGAAACGAACAAGACTAAAGCTGATTATTAATGCGAAAGTCACTCTGCTTATCTGAGTTTAGAACTGAATAAAATCCAAAGCAAAATACACTCAAACATAAGTAAGAAGGAAGTTATCAGCAGAAGATCAGTGGTATTTGGCCTCATTTTCCTTGCTGCACCTATAACATACACCTGGAAAAATTCAATGGATGGATATATGTTTTGTGTCAGGAAACTGATGCAACAGTGATCAAAAGTAAATGGGCACTGAAACAACTACACATATTCCTTTAACACAGCTGAAAAACAAAGCTGAACTGTACCTGAATACCCACACAAAACTAAACATGCCTTTAAAGAGATACAAGGCTTGCAATTTTAACAAATAGAGGCTGCATTACCCAGTCATACACAGCTTTCTTCTCGGACATGAGGCTATGTGTTCAGATGTTCCCCCAGTGCTGAACCATGAACTGCCTCTGCTCCTTTCTGGCAGAGATAGCCTAGACTGAGATCAAGATAATTTGATCAGCCTTGCCCATATTTCATCTACTGCTAGATCTCAATCTTCCATTTGTATGTCCCTAAGGCAAGTGAGTGAATCAAACAAGCCATCTGGGCAGGTGATA